GTGTGTGTGACTCAACAATCAATATTTTGCACCAATAACTCATTACAGTTGTGACCGGGTGTGGAAGTGTGAATTGCTCATTACTCTATAATTTGTTCATGATTGTAGCCAAAGTATAAACGTAAGTAACCATTCTACAGAATTCATTACCTTTGTAACTTGTGAGCTCATTACCTTTGTACCTAGTTCAGCTATCAAAACTTTGGGGGCCCAGTCCCTGGACCCATTACGTACCTCTGTAATCTGTAAATACCTTTGTAACTTGTCATGATTGTGACCAGACTTACCTGGAGTTCATTACCTTTGTAAATTGTGAGTTCATTACCTTTGTAAATTGTGAGTTCATTACCTTTGTAAATTGTGAGTTCATTACCTCTGTAACTTGCTAAGCTATCAAAACTTTGGAGTCCAGTCCCTGGACCAATTATGTACCTCTGTAATCTTTTGACTACCGCCCACAGGATGGGTATGGGGTGCATAATAAACATATTAAACTAACATCACCCTTAAAGTTTTGAGGTGGTCAGTCCCTCAGTCTGGAGAAGAGCATTGTTCCATAGAATGAAACAATATGGAGATGAAGTGACAGGATGGAGCCTTATATAGCGCCAAGAGGTGAGACGTAGGTCACTAGAAGAGGTAAGAACTCAGATGTTGGGAGGTCAGGTCCCTCTCAAATCCAGCCGTTCTCACTAGTAGAGGTTGTCGAAGTTGATTGTAGGTCTGTACCAAGATACCCTTGTGTTGCAGTGTCTGACAGATTGAACATTAAAATGGTATAAAATACCGACAGGTTGTTAGGTAAGACACATATGCAACAGTTAGGTATCTTTATTTCGAAACGTTTCGCCTACACAGTAGGCTTCTTCAGTCAAGTACAGAAAAGTTGATAGAAGCAGAAGATACTTGGAGACGATGTAATCAGTCCATCACCCTTAAAGTTTTGAGGTGGTCAGTCCCTCAGTCTGGAGAAGAGCATTGTTCCATAGAATGAAACAATATGGAGATGAAGTGACAGGATGGAGCCTTATATAGCGCCAAGAGGTGAGACGTAGGTCACTAGAAGAGGTAAGAACTCAGATGTTGGGAGGTCAGGTCCCTCTCAAATCCAGCCGTTCTCACTAGTAGAGGTTGTTGAAGTTGATTGTAGGTCTGTACCAAGATACCCTTGTGTTTGAGAGGGACCTGACCTCCCAACATCTAAGTTCTTACCTCTTCTAGTGACCTACGTCTCACCTCTTGGCGCTATATAAGGCTCCATCCTGTCACTTCATCTCCATATTGTTTCATTCTATGGAACAATGCTCTTCTCCAGACTGAGGGACTGAGCACCTCAAAACTTTAAGGGTGATGGACTGATTACATCGTCTTCAAGTATCTTCTGCTTCTATCAACTTTTCTGTACTCGACTGAAGAAGCCTACTGTGTAGGCGAAACATTTCGAAATAAAGATACCTAACTTTTGCATGTGTCTTACCTAACAACCTGTCGGTATTTTATACCATTTTAATGTTCAATCTGTCAGACACTGCAACACAAGGGTATCTTGGTACAGACCTACAATCAACTTCGACAACCTCTACTAGTGAGAACGGCTGGATTTGAGAGGGACCTGACCTCCCAACATCTGAGTTCTTACCTCTTCTAGTGACCTACGTCTCACCTCTTGGCGCTATATAAGGCTCCATCCTGTCACTTCATCTCCATATTGTTTCATTCTATGGAACAATGCTCTTCTCCAGACTGAGGGACTGACCACCTCAAAACTTTAAGGGTGATGGACTGATTACATCGTCTTCAAGTATCTTCTGCTTCTATCAACTTTTCTGTACTCGACTGAAGAAGCCTACTGTGTAGGCGAAACGTTTCGAAATAAAGATACCTAACTGTTGCATATGTGTCTTACCTAACAACCTGTCGGTATTTTATACCATTTTAATGTTCAATCTGTCAGACACTGCAACACAAGGGTATCTTGGTACAGACCTACAATCAACTTCGACAACCTCTACTAGTGAGAACGGCTGGATTTGAGAGGGACCTGACCTCCCAACATCTGAGTTCTTACCTCTTCTAGTGACCTACGTCTCACCTCTTGGCGCTATATAAGGCTCCATCCTGTCACTTCATCTCCATATTGTTTCATTCTATGGAACAATGCTCTTCTCCAGACTGAGGGACTGACCACCTCAAAACTTTAAGGGTGATGGACTGATTACATCGTCTTCAAGTATCTTCTGCTTCTATCAACTTTTCTATACTCGACTGAAGAAGCCTACTGTGTAGGCGAAACGTTTCGAAATAAAGATACCTAACTGTTGCATATGTGTCTTACCTAACAACCTGTCGGTATTTTATACCATTTTAATGTTCAATCAGTAATAATTGTTTGTCTGGGTCTCTATCAAATTCATTATAGGTTCATCAAAGTACAACTGGCAGTAGTCTAACTCTGTAGACTCATTCATTGGGGGACACTCTGGCTGGATGCCACTTCCACTTGCATCAAAATCACAAGGCTGTGGTATGAATATACTTTGTGTCCAGTTCCACTCATGATCACATGGTGCAGGTTGGACCTGTGGCATGGGGTGTGGGGGAGCAGGAGGAGGGACAGGAGTGGAGGCAGCACATGGTTGAGGGGATGCCGGGCGGTCCTTTGTCTGTCCACCCACTGCACCATGTGGTCCAGGCACAGTGCCACCCACCACTACTTCCTCCATCCCCGCATACTCGCCTTCATGATCACTTTCACTATCAATGGCCAGGGTTTTGGATCGTGACCTGCCATGACCCTTTGGGATTGCATATGGCACACTGCCTGAACGTAGATAATGACGCCTAAAAGTACGCTTCAGTGGTGAATAATGAACTTCACTATCACTAGACGAATCCTCTAATGGCATAAAATGAATCTCATCATCACTTACATCACTTTCACTATTTCTAAAACACCGGGAAAATGATAGTTTTCTCTTGCGAAGTTGCCTATGGGTAAAACTCGCCACTCCAGAGGTGCTTGGCCCAGGGCCTTGTGTGGCCACACTGGCCACCCCGGAAGTGCTTGGCCTAGGGTCTGCTATGGCCACACTGGCCACCCCAGAGGTGCTTGGCCCAGAGTCAGGTGTGGCTACCCCAGAGGTGATGGGCTGAGGGCCATCTGGGTTATCGCCGACATTTTCACTAATTCCTTGAATGTTACTGGCCCCATTGGTGTCAGATCCACTAAACTCATGATCTACATCACTTTCCTCGAATAGTAGAGTGTTAATATGATGAGGCGTGAGTGAATCATAAGGATGTGCCATGATGCTGTCCCAAGATGGAGCTGAATGCAACTGGACCTACCATGTGGTACCCAGGCATTCCCGATTTTTTTCATACGGCACACACTGAGTGAGCATACCCATTCTCTCATGTCTAGGCGACTCAGGCCTATCGCACCAATTTTGAATGAATGAAAAATGAAACGTATATATACATTTGGGGTGCTAGCGATAAGAACGTATATACATGTACATGTTTGGACTGTTTAGGCGTTGATATCAGGACCATTTGAGTTGAATAAATATATTATTACTGGGTGATTTGATGGTAAACAGGTGAATTATCCTATTTATACTGCCGTAGTTCATCTGACACCATCACCTGGTTAACTTTAGCCTACCGCTGCTAAGCACCAATTAATTTTTACGAATATTTTTGTTATTAATTATTTTATACAAAATAGTTTACACAATTCATTACTGGGTCATATACAGGAGCTTAGATTGCTGTTTAGTATCAGAAAATTTCTCTAGGCTTAGGCTGAGGCCTCTGAGCAATGCAGGTGTAATTTGGACCTGCATAGCATGGGCCAATAAGCCTGCTGGAGTGCTCATTCTTTCTTATGTTCTTGTGTAACCTTCAGCCTCCATGATGCTGGGTAAATTTTCACGACTTATTTTTGGAAAGAAATAGCATCTTCAACACTGTAAAATACAGTATTTGTAGCTACAGAAGTGGAGCTGAACTCTTTCTGTCCTGTGTTCAGTATATAGTTTATTCAGACCTGGACTTGTGTATAAACTAAGCTACAGTTTAAGGCTTAACAATATGAGAGACCTCAAATATTTTTCCTTCTTATGAGGTGTCCCGTAGCTCAGTAGCTAGTGCACTCAGCTCACAATGTCAGGTTCGTGGTTCGATCCTAGGTACAAGTGAAAACATTTAGGCATGTTTCCTGTAGCTCAGTAGCTAGTGCACTCAGCTCACAATGTCAGGTTCATGGTTTGATCCTAGGTACGAGTGAAAACATTTAGGTGTGTTTCCTTAAGATACCTGCTGTCCATGTTCACCTATCGGTAAATTAGGTACCTGGGTGTTAGTCAACTGGCGTGAATCTTATCCTGGGGACAAAATCGACTTAATTTGCCTAAAATGCTCTGCATTACAAGGGGCTTTCTACACAGTATGTCACTGATGTCAGCTATGGTCTGTATACACTGTACATGTATTTGTAGAAATAAAGATTATTATTATTACTATTATTATTATAATTATTATATTTTACCATTATTTATTGTGACATGCAGTTTTTTTGGGGCCTCCTAAATTTGACTTATCTTAGGGCCTTGAAAGATCAAAGTCTGGCTCTGAGTCTGTTGCAGTGCTGTAGGACTTACCACTGCTTCTTGTAAATCATTCCATTAACCTACCACTCTGAAAACAAAAACTTTTTAAGAGTCCTTTTAGCAGCTCTTCAGTTAACAGTTATAAGATATTGTTGTAGTTGATGGTATTTGGAAACTTTTCTTGTTAATTCTTTCACATCGGTCAGGCATCACTGTATTTTGGAATAAAGAATACAGATATTTAGGAATAACACTAACTCCCATTCTTCAGGGTCAGGATATAAAATATTCAATTCCATTTATCATATAAGATCCATAATTGTTCACCATAAGCTGTCCTCAAGAGCTTCATAGATTCAATGTTGTTAAAACAAGACAATAGTGTGATATGTGTATTTTCAATTAAGTACAACTGTATATCATTGGTTCTCTAGCATCTATTCACATTTAGCCAAATTATGATTCTAGAGCATCATAGTATAACATTTTGTTAAAAATTACCATAAATAAAATTTTTATTTACTTTCTGATAAATTAATCTAATCATTTAGAAAAATTATTATGCCACAATTATCTAATATCCTTTCATCTCATTTAATTTAAATAAACTAGTAAATAAATAATATAATTAAATATACAAATAATTAAAACTAAATATATTCATATTAATAAAACTACTTTGGAAATGCAAAATATCCAGATGTGAACCATATTACATAATTATATATTAATCTGAACAGTTTTCAGCACAACCCGACCACCATTCATAGTAAAGTATCAATTTATAATAGAAAAACTATTCTAAACATTGAGTATGATCATGAAAATACTAGTTTAATGAATATAAAAATACATATCTTGTAATTTTGCTTCTGTTTATTTAAATTCACTTTAACCTTAATTATCAAGTCACAAGACAAAGTAAAGTGTGCAGTAACAATGCCATACTGATAACATGTCTCGAAGCTCACATAGATACCGTGTTAGTCTTGTTCAGGTCTAAAATGGCGAATTCATTCCTAATTTTGTCCCAAATTCAAGTCTCGCTCTCTTCTGATATCTGACGTTGACTCTGAAAATACGATACAAATTAGCGGTATACGGATTTTACAGCACAAGATGCACCTGATATACTGAACAAGTGATGGATTTGCCTTACAATTAAAAAATACTGCAGTACTATATTCTCTGTGAACTTTATTTATAAACAAAATACATTAACAAATATACAACAGAAAGGGGAACAACATAAATAACATCTTAGAGCCAACATCACAAATATTTTGTCCAGCTCCCTGGTGGTGGGCTGCATGCCCAGAATGCTGCAGGCATTTCCCTGCTGGATTGCAACACCGAGTCTCTGAAAGAGGAAGCTGGCTGTTCTGTGATCCTTGGTTTCTGTGATGAGCTTTATACCTAGCTCTCTGAGGAATTTAACCCTTAAACGGTCCAAACATATATATACGTTCACTTGCGTAGTGCCCCAAATATTTTGAAATTTTTTTTTTTTTTATAGAAAAGAAGAACATATTTTTTGAATGTTTTAGAATAAAAAAAAATAGGGTCAGTACTTACTGAGATATGAGGCCGAGAAGTTGGCACAGGATGCTCATGTGACAGCAACATCGAGTCCTGCCGCTTGCAGAAGTATTGCCGATATACCTTTTTTTCTATTTTTCATATTATTTTATGCAATTTTTATGTTCTGATAATTACAATTTATAGTAGTTCTTGTCATTTTATAACCAATCTTTGTTCTGACACTAGTATTAGGTACTGAAATTGTGCTCACAATTGTCACAAACACACTGACAGGTGGACATTTACACCTGCCTTGGCCATTTATTATTGCCTTGGAATATATACAAAATATTTATATGTCCCAGCAATGTTTTGGATATGTGGAAGTATATAATAGCAATGAGGAGAATGAGGAAAAGGAGGAGGAAGAAGAGGAGGAGGAGGAAAAAGATGAAGAGGAAGAGGAGAAGGAGGAGGAAGAGAAGGAGGAGATGGATGAGGAGGAGGAGGAGGAGAAGGAGGAGGAGAGAAGGAGGAGGAGAGGAAGGAGGAGGAGGAGAAGGAGGAGGAGAGGAAGGAGGAGGGAGGAGGAGGAGGAGAGGAAGGGAGAGGAGAGGAAGGAGAGGAGGAGAGGAAGGAGGAAGGAGGAGAGGAAGGAGAAGGAGGAGAGGAAGGAGAAGGAGGAGAGGAAGGAGGAGGAGGAGGAGGAGGAGAGGGAAGGAGGAGGAGGGAGGAGAGAAGGAGGAGGAGAGGAGAGGAGAGAGGAAGGAGGAGGAGAGGAAGGAGGAGGAGAGGAGGAGGAGGAGGAGGAGGAGGGAGGAGGAGAGGAAGGAGGAGGAGGGAGAGGAGGAGGAGAGGAAGGAGGAGGAGGAGGAGGGAAGGAGGAGGGGGAAAGAGGAGAGGAGGGGGAGGGAGAGGGGAGGAGAGGAGGAGGGAGGAAAGGGGGAAGGAGGAGGAGGAGAGAAGGAGAGGAGGAGGAGGAGAGAGGAAGGAGGAGGAGGGGAGGAGGAGGAAGGGGAGGAGGAGGAAGAGAGGAGGAGGGAGAGGTAGGAGGAGGAGGAGAGAAGGAGGAGGAGAGGAGAGGAGGAGAGGGGAGGAGGAGGGGAGGAGGGGGAGAGGAAGGAGGAGGAGGGAAGGAGGAAGGAGGAGGGAGGAGGGGGAGGGAGGAGGAGGAGGGGAAGGAGGGAGGAGGAAGGAGGAGGGGGGAGGGAGGAGAGGAGGAGGGGGAGGAGGAGGAGGAGGGAGAGGAGGGGGGAGGGAGGAGGAGAGGGAGGAGGAGGAGGAGGGAGGAGGAGGAAGGAGGAGGGAGGAGGGAGGAGGGAGAGGGAGGAGGAGGAGGAGAGGGAGGGGAGGAGGAGAGGGAGGAGGAGGGAGGAGGAGGGGAGGAGGAGGAGGAGAGGGGAGGAGGAGGGAGGGAGGAGGAGGAGGAGGAGGGAGGAGGAGGAGGAGGAGGAGGAGGAGGAGGAGGAGGAGAATGAGAATGAGAATATGTAATAGTAATAACAGGTAATAATAGGTTCCCTTGAAGCATTAAAAACAAAGTCCACCCCTGACAGTGACATGATAAGATGAGATAACATCTGATAAGAGCTGACGTTTGATGAGCATACATGAGGGTGAGGGAGGGTGCAGCTGATAAGAAAAGATTAGAGGTGATATTTGATGAGCATCGCCCTCACTTTGTTTTCGCTGGTACACAAACATTTCTGTCTGTCAATTTGTCTGTCTGTCAAGCTCCTTGTCTATTTGTCTCTCTCTGTCTCAGAGAGAGCCACAAGACTGCGTCATCACCTTTACTCACATCTTCAAGCAGAGTATAGCACTGTGTCTGGATTTTTGGGGTTATCCTAGGTAATTTACACTATGTATACTTGTATTTATGTGTACCTGTGAGACAGAGATAGATAGAAAGAGACAGATTGAAAGAGATACAGAGACAGACAAAGACAGAGATAGACAGAGAAAGACAGAGATAGAGAGATAGAGATAGACAGACCCTAAACTTGGGGTTATCATCACTTTCCTCTTAAAAGACGAGTGTTAATATGACATTACATCAGTGAATCCTTGGTGTTTGCCGCACTGTTTGCTCTAGCTGGTGATCCCACAAGGTACTAAGTGATCCCAGATTTTTTTAATACCACGCACACTGAGTGTTAGGACCCATTCTATGATGACAAGGCATCTCAGGCCAATCGTGCCAAATTTGAAGGCAGGAAAAATAAAATGTATATATACGTTTGGGGCGCTATGCGTAAGAACGTATATATATACGTTTGGACCGTTTAAGGGTTAAGAGCACACGTTGCCCTATGCTCCAAGGGTCTCCGACCCAACTGGGATGAAATTATAGCAAGGGAGCAGGTCTTCATATTTGCTTTACTAACTGTACTTCATATTTGCAGTACTTATTTAAAAAAAAAAACCTGTGTCTGAATGTTCTTAACATTTCTGAATCAGAGTTTCTGCCAGACTAATAAAGTAGGGCTTCAACTTATGATGCTTCACAGTTAAAACACAGGCACTTTGGAACCAATTAGTTACAAACATAACTCATTCTCCCCAAGTTAGGTTGACTATATTTATTTTCTCAAGGATGAATAATACAGTCTCTCCTCACTTGACGTACTAGTTTAATGACTGCTCAGACTTACGACCAGCTCTCTGACCTGTATGCGTATGTAAGTAATGTATGTGTATTAGAGCTGATTTCCTATATTCTGTTTATTACAATATACGTATAGTACACTACTGTATAAACATTTAAAACTACAGCCTCTCTTACTTAGAGACATACTCGTTTACCGATGCCTCAGACTTACGGCGGGCTCTCTGACGAGTATTTATACCTAAATAATGTTTATTAGAGCTGTTTTCCTCTACTCTGTATTTCAATATACAGTACACTACAGTATAAACATTCAAAAATATACCAGAAATGTTATAAATGATGCAGAGGTGACAGTAAAACAATATCAAAGATGGTTGACACAAACTCACTACCATTATAGTATGCTCCTCACTTAGCAACAAATTTGTTTAACAACGTGGTCTTGGGAACAAACTCAGTTGTTAAGTGAGGAGAGGCTGTATACTAAAAATGTTATAGTGTAAATGTGACATTAAAACAATATCTAAAGACGGCTGACACAAACCCACTACCAGTTCTGTATGCTCCTCACTTAACGACCAATTCGTTTATCGACCTACTCTTCAGAACGGAACTCCATCATTAAGTGAGGAGAGACTGTAGTAAAACCTCAGTGCAACAGATTAATAGGGAAAGTAGTGTTCGCTTAAAGAAAAATTCGTTGCGTCAAGGTATGTATCAGGGACAGCAGAGTAGGTCCACTGTGTCGAATGATATTTCCGGATATGGACAAATGCCTCACGCAGTAGACTTAATCTGCTGCATCGACAACACTACCAGATATACTAAGAATAAACTGTAATACAGTATATTACCCAAAAATAAAGGTACATTACTGAAGATCACAGTAATTAGGTATCCCAAAGGGAAAACTTTCAGTGGTTAATTTATTTTTTTCCTTTTTTTTTTTTATAACCTGAGTCCTCAATCAGATCAGCTTCAACTTTTCAACACTGGTGTATGGTAATTAGGGCAAAATTCATGCAACTATTGTCATGTGCAAATGACCTAAGACCAAAGTTGTTAACCCTTTGAGGGTCGACAGGCCCTCTCCGAAACTCGTTCTCAGGGTCGGCCAAATTTCAAAAAAAAAAAAAATTATTTTTTCTTATAAAAAAATAGTTTTTTTTTTTCTAAACATTATAGGATAAACAAAAAAATTTTACCATCAATACTTACGGAGATATGGATGCATGAAGTTTGCAGAAAATGAGCCGCGTATGGCACAGCGGCGACTGCCGCTCACTCCGGTAAACTTTGATTTACTTGTATTTGAAGGTTTGTTGTTTTTTTCACTATTTTATTTTTTCACATACCTTATGTGGCCTATGAGACAAAGTAAGGTGCAATGTACAATATACACTCGTTGTATACAACACAATAAGCACACAAACATAATTATCAATATATTGTTTCAAAACTTGTTTACAAAAACAAACAATACAAAACATTGTTTATTATTATTGTTCTATAATATATATACCAATATACAGTCACTGACATATTCCTATTAGTTCTGCAGCTTGTGGAACTCTGAAACATGGTGTCTACACAATGGGTGTTTATCTTTCTCCCTCATTCTATCTCTTTCAATCTGTCTCTCTCTTTCTATCTGTCTGTCTATCTCTGTCTCACAGTACACATAATACAAGTTACATAGTATAAATTACCTAGGATAACCCAAAAATCCAGACAAAGTGCTATACTCTGCTTGAAGATGTAGTAAAAGTGATGACACAGTCTTGTGGCTCTCTGAACAGAGAGCTAGATGGATAGACAGATAGACAGGGAGCTTGACAGACAGACAAATAGACGACAGAAATGTTAGTGTACCAGTACCAGTGTACTAGTGTTCCACCCTCCTCCTCCTCTTCTTCCCTTCCTCTCTTCCCCTACTCTTC